TGATAATGGGCGGATGGAAAACAGCCAAGATCACTGAACCTGTGTGTCCGGCATTTCCAGATTTCAAAGCTCTCTTTATCCAATAATAGTTTGTTTTGTTCTGTGGGCGATTTTTTCCTGTTCTACCCAGGATCTGAGAATAAAACCAGAGCATACTGGATTCAGGTATAACATTGTGTGGGAACACTTAGATCAGGTGGCCTCAGCTGTTTAAAAGCTTACTGGACCTTTTAATGCAGAGAGCTAAGCTCCACATTGTAATGCTGGTATATTTATTAGCCAATCCTTTTCCGCTGTGTTGCTGAGAGCTTTAGCAACCCACTTCCTGCTACACACCAGCAAAGCTCCTTGGCAACACTCTGCATCCAGGGTAACCTTCTGTTTTATCACACAAGAGTTAGCACACTTTTCTCAGGCCCCAGCAATTCCACACACTGGATTTCTTAAATACAAAGTAAAAATGAATTTTTTTTTGTTTTCTTGGATGGGATTTGTTATCTTGCACATCTTGCACGGAGGGTCTCCACGGGATGGGAACTGCTTGCGTGCCTTGGCGTACACCGCAGCAGACAGACAAGCATGGACAAGGCAGGAGCATCTGCTGGGAGGGTGCCAAGGCACAGAGGTGGACTTAAGTGGTCCTGACCCCTCAACACAATGTGCTCCCTTACTGTGTCGGAGTTCGACCTGTGACACTATCCCCCTTTACACACTGAGCACTTCCTGGACATCAGCAGAACTTCCATCATCATCTCTCAAATCCCCTTCTACGTTGAGGCAAATACCTTTTCCACGTCACAGTAGCTTCCAAGAGCAGGAACCTGTTGAACTTGCTTCGCCTTCTGAACAGCTAGTTCCAAAATCCTTTGCTCCTCTTCCACTTTTTCGATAGCACATTTAGTTGCAGGGAAATACTGGTTTATGTTCGCCAGCTCTCCCACTAATATTCCTCTTCTGTAACAAATTGAGGGCAATAAATGATTTCAACAAATTCAGCAAGCCTAAAAACATTACTAGAAGTGCTTCTTAACGCGTGTTTTTCTGCAGTTTCCCCGAGACAAAAGTTGATAATACATTAATCTTAGGGCTCTATAGCAAACTTTCATTTCACAAATAGAGAAATAAATGTTAAAGTAAACATAAAAAATGAAAATTACTTACATTAGATATGCAAGCTGAGTCACTCAGAATAGTAACACATAAAGTTAAAAATCATATCCATCTTAAAAGAGCAAACTCTAGTTTTCAATTCAAAATTATGTGACATGATTTAATTGTAAGAGCATCAAAAGCTCTAGAACCTCTTTACTTTCATTTCTACATGAAAAGAGTACCGAGTCACTTCCAGCACAATGCTCTGCTTGAAATATAAAGCTGAATCAGCAGAATCTTCAAAATAAAAATATTCTTTAGGTCCCTAAATAGACCTTTTACCTGGAAGATCTTTAAAAACAACTTTCCGTGAAGTTTAATAAGGACGGATTCACTAATAATGTATGCCACAAACCTTTTTTTTTGCCAGACTCTGATCTACACAATGTAGAAAGCTAATATGTATAGATGTGTGAGGAACCTGATAAAACACATTTGGAGATGCTAGAGCTCTAACAACTCTCAAAGGTTTGTGTTACCTTCTGTTTAATGCAGTAGTTGCCATGTGAACTGCTTCATCTATTTCCTTTAGGAGTCTGGCCTTCTCATTTTCAACTTGGTTCTCAAAACCATTCAGAAGAACCTTGAAGAATAAAATAGTTCACATTAGTCTGTAATGTATACCCCACGCTCCGCAAAAAAGTAAACATTCGACTTTCACCCCAGCTGCTCCAGGGGCGCCGTATAAATGGCTGACCCTGTGCTCTGACCCCCAGCTTCTCTCCCTGTCTGTGCCTCTCATGGAGAGCAAGTTGAGGTATGCGAAAAGACAAATTCCTAATGCAAGAAATTGTATATGGCCAATAAAGTGATCTTATCTTATCTCTGAACTGGCTTCATCACTCTGCTCTCCTCCCCACTGAGAGCTGGTGTGTGGGGAGCGGACTGGTGCACTATCACTGCCATTACATCATCCAAGTGGGGCTGCACACTGATGGTGGTGGAGGGGATCCCCACTACCTGTAAAGGGCTTTGAGTGGAGTGTCCAGAAAGAGCAATTTGTAAGTAGAAGGAATTATTGCCTTTAAATCTCACCTCATGTAAGCTCTGAAGCTGAGACATCTTTTTAGAGGCAAGCAGCAGTGCATCATCCAGTGCTTGTAAGGTATCTGAGTTCTACATGAAAAAATTAAACAGACTTTTTTAATTGCAAAACCTGTTCTCAATTGAGGTGCTATCACAGACAATGCAATCTACAGAAACAGCACATTTCATATTACCAACCAATGCAAAAATTCTGCATATATACACACTGCATATGACAACAGGATGGCCACTTTAAATGACAAAATAGCACCCCTATCACTAAACAAATCACACACAGTGGTTCTAATTTCAGCGACTTGATTCTTGACAATATTATGAAGTCAAATTCACCTGTTAAAATAACCTGTCCTCATTTTACTACAAACAACACAAAATGTAGTATTGTATTCATACCAATACAGTCTTCTCCTTGTTTACATCACTCAAAAGCACAGATTGGCAACACATCTCTAAAGCTGGCAGTTCTTCACTGACTGAAGTCTTAGCTTGGCTGGGAAAAAAGAAACATGATCAAGTGGGGTATAAGCATGTATCAGGACATTTAATGTTAGTTAAAGTAATGCTAATACTAGTTCCTAATATTTGATCCAAGACACACAGATTAAAAAAAATCTACATTTTAATCAGACTCATCATACCATTATTAAGATATAAAATAAAGTTTTGTGTATATAGTCCTGTCTAAAGAAGCACACTGTTTTGTTTTAAGGTACTGCTATTAGTCCACATTTATCACAGTAAAACACTCAGGAGTCTAAGCTCAACGACAACAGCTTCCCTGAGCTACATCAGTGCAGAATGGACAGTATGCACCCATTTCCCTTTCACTTCTATTAAAAGAACAAGCCTTTTTGTTGCTCCTTTTTACACACCACTCTATTACAAGCATGCGTCACCTTTTCTGTTTCTTCATATCGGTGGTATAGATCAGTCCCATGATCCTCTTGTCTCCTGGAAGACCTTCGACCCCATCAACACTCAGCTGAGTTTCAGCCTGCAGGGACACTGCCATGCGTTAGGGCTTCCCCTCTCCCCGTGTCTGAGATATGCAATGCAAATACAAAGCCCACTTCCACTCCACACTTTTTCAAATTAAAATCTGACGCCAATCATATAACTTGGGTTTTGGGCAACAGCCTCAACCGCAGGCCCCAGGTTCCACAGCTGGGCACGAGACAGCAAAGAACGTGCAGTACCCCACAAAAACAAAACCTTCTTAACAAAATGATGGCCACCTCAAAAAAATGATAGTACTCTAGAATAAACTTATGGTACACTGCTGTGCACTTTTAATAAGAAGTGAGTTATTACCTAGAATTAAGACAACAACAAACCTTTAATCATGCTGCATAACAAACCTTTAAAATACTTAAACTAATGCACACAAAGAACTTTCAATTATACCTTAACGATACAGCACACAAAAAACTCTTACTGTACCTCTCGATAACAGAGAGTTAAGTAAATCAATATCAATTTACTCACCTCTCTGCTACTGTGTAAACAGTAATTATTAGTGAAATAACACAGTGTTTCCAGGGTAATTGTAATTATGAAATGGATTGTGTAATTGTGTAATTATGAAATGGATGCTTGGAGCCAAGCACACAGCTTAATCAGGCATGAGCAAGTCTATGGAGCTGGAACTGGTGTTAGTGGGGCCAGCAGGGGGCGCTCACCCTGTGGTCTATGTGGGTCCTAATGCCCCAGTTCAGCGGCAGGGACACTATACTGTAAAAAGGCACCGTCCTTCAGGCGAGATGTAAAACAGACTCCTGACTCTCTGTGGTCATTAAAAATCCCAGGGTGTTTCTCACAAAGAGCAGGGGTGTAACCCCAGCAACCTGGCCAAATTTCCCATCGGCCCTAACCAGTCATGGCCTCCTAATAATCCCCATCTCTGAACTGGCTTCATCACTCTGCTCTCCTCCTCCCTGAGAGCTAGTGTGAGGGGAGCGTACTGGTGCACTCTGGCTGCCTTAGCATCAGGTGGAGGGGAGTCCCTATTACCTGTAAAATGCTTTCAGTGGAGTGTCAAGAAAAGCACACTATATATCTAAGGATTTTTTTGTATTATTATTATTATTATTATTATTATTATTATTATTATTAAATGCTTCCACTGTATTTTCTTTACTAAAGATCTTCACAATGAGACTAAATAATACAAGGTCCCAATTCGTCCTAAGCATCACACACCCTTAAGTACTATGAAATGTCAGAGCAGGTGCAAAATGGAGGGATTCTTAGCATTGCTGCTGGCAGCCATAATGCCACAATGAAAATGAGTGCTAACCTCTGGTAGCCTCTGGTTGGCACATGGGGATACTGTCGTATGGCAGGGCGACCTTACCTTGCACTGTGGACACACGATGACTTCGCCATTACTGGCCAGGGACCACAGACATGACGAACAGAAGACATGCCCACAAACCAGGACCAGGGGTAAGTTTCCAACTACCTCATCCTCTGTGGAACAAAACCAAAATAAACCCCCCCTTAAACCAAGAAAGAACTGGTCAAAATGAGGTTGTACATCTCTTTCCTGAACTCCAGCTCGCATTTGACAGCCACTCGTAATCTTTACGATCGCACAGCAACATGTGGCTTCTCTGTGCCGAATCCCTGTCGCCCGCGGTTATTATTCCTATTACCGTCACTGAGAAGCTTTTTTGTCAAAAAGGAATTAGAAGCGTGAAGAGATATTTCCACTCACTAGCATCCCTCCTGTGCTGGAGCCTCAGTTCCATTCAAGAGGATGAAAAATAATCTGAACACAACAATAAGGATATAGCCTGTTCTAGTACTGTACATTAAAATGTTCAGAGTTACTTAGACACTTAATTCCCTATAACCTAGTTATTTTGTGAATCAGTTATGTTTAAAATTAAGTGTTAAAAGCCACTGCCTACCGTTTTTTCCCCCACTGCTCATAAGGCAATAAGAAAATCATCACAATATTACACAAAATTACCATAAAAAGGGGATATACCACTTGAAGGGCTATATACACTTGAAGAGTTTCTCCTGCATTTCTCAATACTACAGCCTCTCAGGCATTCTTAAAAAATGAAATATTTCTTGGCATTTTGTCCAAAGCACGAAATACTCATTTTTGTACACTGTATAGTTTTGTCTGAAGGGAAAACAAAGTCTGCTTTATACTGTACAGTACCAAGAGAGAACAAATCACCCTTGAACCTTTGACCTTTCGTGGATGAAATTATTTTATACTTACCATTGCTGACACCGAGTGCATTAACTTATAATGTCGTGAGATGACACTTAATGGGTTTTATACCAAAACGTTTCAGTCGACTGACAAACAGATCAAGACGCCAACTGCAACACACACACACACAAAAAAACACTTTCTGTGTGCCTACCCTTCCTCCTCTCCGGCCCCCCACTCATCAAAACCGTTTTTTAGCAAGTAGGAGCTCAGGTCGTTATTGCACGGCGAGTACACAAGCTTCTTGCGTTCATGCCCATTTTTAATCGCTTTATACGTCTGTCATGTCCTCTGATGGCCGCCAAGCCCGCGGTTAAAACCGTAACCTGGCCTACAAGCCCACGAAACATTTTATCATGTACGTGTGTTTGCGAGGCGGGGTGGGTACGGACATGCCATTTTACATGACTTTTTCACTTTCACTACCGATAGCTGCGCGCATTTCTAACAGGTGTGTTACCTGACAGCGTGTATTGACGAGAGCAGCCCTCGCACACCGGGGCGCTTCGCTCGCCGGAGCCTTCCAACATGTCGGACCCGTCCCTCGCTCGAGCGGCGAGGCCTAGCGCCCTCCTTAAGCCCTCCGCCCGGCCGCGGTCAAACGCCGGCCCGCCAGCGCTCGCTTTCCTTATCGTCGGTATTTTCCGGGTCGCCGGGTCCGTTGTTTTGTTCGATAAGACTTCTTATTCAATTTCTCAGACCTCGTTTTTTTTTTTTTTTTTTAATGGTGGGTAATAGTGATATGTCGGTTGTTTCGTTCAGTCGAGGAACCGCACCGAACTTGTTAACGAATGACGTCCTTTTTTTTAAAAAAAAGTACGTTAAAGAATAAAAAAATAATAATCATAGGAAATTCTTCGTGAAATGTAACTTTCACCCCCCCGAGGCAGTGGGACGAAAAACAAAGTTGTAATATTACCAGGCAAGGGGCACTCTGGTAAGGGCACAATGTTCTGGTAAATTATTTTTTCCCCTCAGATGATATCAAAATAATCCGCTAGGAGGAGCTAACATGATAAAAGGCTGAAAAACTGAGGGGGTTGTGTTTCTGTGCAGGGTCATGAAGCCGTAGTAAAGACAATCCTGCTCTTTCCCTGATCAAACAATTCATTTCGGCGTGTCCCTCACACATACCTTTAAAAACAGCCAATTAACAGGCAATATGTTTATTACTACTAATCTACAACAAGTAGATATATTATCTTTTCGATGTCACGGATTGGGTTAAATAAAAAACCGTGATTACAAAATACCGTATGTTTCGTAGCACGGAAACATGTTAACGCCACAGAGAAAATATTGCATTTAAACGATATAACTAGTTTTAAACGGAATTATTATCATGTTTACCTGCTTGAACTACAAACCTGGTAGTTTACTGATTATTTTACATGGTTTATGAGGGTGAGTGGCACTGTGGTGCAGTGGTTGGCAGTGCTGCATCGTGATGTTGGGGACCTTGGGTTCAATTTTGGACCTGGGGTGCTGTCTGCGTGGAGTTTGCATGTTCCTACGGTTTCCACCCCCCAGTCTAAAGACTGGTAGGTTAAATGGCTTCTGAGAGTATTGGTCCTGGTGTGTTTCTGTGTCTGTGTGTGCCCTGCGTTGGACTGGCATTCCGTCCACTGAACCTAAATTGGATAAAATAGCTTAAATCTTTGATGGATGGTTTGTGAGGGTAGGAGTTTTAGGAATAGTTTACTGTGGTCTCCAGATTTGTTGTTTACTAATCAGTGTACACGGTTTGTATAGAGTTTAACTTCCTCACCTCCACGTGGTTAAACAACAGAAAGTTGTACTTGTCTGTTTGAAAGATCAACATGTAACTCCTTTTTTAATGCAAATAAGCAATAAATCGGTAAACGTACCATCTAGCCTCCTTTTATCTTGAATTGGTCACAGGCAATGAGAAACAAGCACAGGCAGTGAACTAGGTTTTTCAGGTTTATATAACGCAAATGTGCAAAACGCCAACAAGAACAATCTCGAAAGTAGGAATGTAGCTGCTGATCAGAGTTTTTTAAAACGTGCATGATCGCACAGCACGTGGGTTGTTGTCTGTGAGCCCAGAAAAGCACACAGCATGTCTCCAGTGAGAGACAATGCGGTGTATAAGATCAGTTTGTGTCCACTAACCTCCCGATCCCCTCAAATTAATTTCTAACCCTCTGCTTTGTCCATGTCTATTGCTCGAAAAATGAGCGTACTGAAATACTGCATGGTTGAATCCAGGACAGAATGCACAGCCAACAAGCAGTACATATTCCAGCCAGATCTAAAGGAAATAACAATGCATACATGTCAACTACTATGGTTTAGAGTCAATATATTATATTTACTACTGAATTTTCTAGTCATTGTTTTTCGAAATGTAGATATCCTTGTCTCATGTAAACTAGAAGTTATTTAAGTAGTGTTTTCCTTCAGTAGCATTAACACACTAGACGTTGTCTCCTGTAGTTAGACTGTGTTCCTTAGGTGAATACAGTTCAAGTTAAGAATTTGATATCTACAAATACCATTTTAAAATACACAGCCTGACTCATTCATACTGAACCCTGGTGTGATTTAAACATACTATTTTTTTGGTTTATGTAGCAACTAGGAAGTGTTTGGTGTCAAAGGGCTCTTTAATTCCTGGGCCAGGCAGCAGGTGGTGCTGATAGAGGTCACATCTCACATCTGGACCTGCGGCACCTGTGTTTACCTGAATGTCTCCGGGAAGAGACAAGGCCCCAGTGGGCTTATTTCAATCTGTGCGTGCCCAGGGCAGCCTGGAGTCACAGAGAGCTGTGAGACGAAAGACTAGGAATACTTCAGGGTGACATGGAATCGGGGATGGGAATGTTGCACTGAGAGGGAAAGAAGGACAGGCAGTGTGGAGCTGAAATGTTATTTCATCCCGAAAAACCTCACCCTCAAGACCGCAGCTGCGTGCCTGAGCAGAAACTCAAGGACAAACTTACTTTCATAGTCCCAGATGGGAAATTTGCTTTGCAGGCGTGTAAAAGACATAACACAATACACAATACAATCAACACGACACGAACCCCTTAACTAATAGGAAACACGCAATGCTTGATGAGAAAGAAAAACAAATATAAGAGTAAAATATACAATCAGTTGTCCAAGTTAAGCAGGTTGCCAGCTGTGGGAATAAAGAATAACTTGGTTCTATTGCACTTGAATCTAGAACAGACAGAATCGATGCACTGATGGATGGAGCTCATATTCACTGTGCAAGGAAAGGTCATGACAGTCACTGATTATATAGCCCTTCCGCACTGTTCGTTTGATGTAGATGTCTCTCAGCTGTAGCTGTTGTGCACCAGTAATTGTGCTGGCTTCCTTCACTGTCTGTTTTTATTGTGTGTATTAATGTTACCAGACCAGGCTACCGCAGTGAATATTGGGATAGACCGAATGAAAGGTCTGTAGAATTAAAGACATTGTTGTACTACACACAAGAGCAGAGTTTTCTCAACCATAACGATCGATGTTGGCTCTTCTGACATCTGCGTTTACCTCAAAGGTTAGTTTGAAATCAACAACAGTGCCAGGATATTTGTAACTGTTGACAATTTCAACTTCCACACATGGTTCCTTGTAGCTGCCATCTGTGCACTACAGCCTACGGAGGCATTGTTACAATTTATTGAAAAATTAACCATGGGATCTTTAATGACCAAGAAGTCAGGACCTGATCTGATGGCATCAAAAGTAAACAGTCTGATGTAAACAATAAATCATCTTCTACTGGTCTCCTAAACTCAAACACTCAATTTTTCATTTAAACATTTGGTCTTTTTTGTGTGGTGCTCTTTGTGGCTCATCTTCTATGTCTTCTTTGAGATGGCTTTTGAAATACCTAATCAGCTGATCCTTCAAACACCTGAGCTATATTTGTCCCCAGAAGAAACCATTTAAAAAATGCTACATTTGTTTATGTGAAGAAAGATGTTGGCTCTTATTTCTGTCAGATGTGCTTTGGAAAAAAGTAAATTCCTCAGAAACCAAAACTCAGACTTAGGCATTGAGCTCAAAACAGCTCATTTTGCATGTGCAAGCTCATGTTTCAAAAAACATTTATTTTGATGCTAAAGCATGAGGCAAGAAATCATTCACATTCTTCCCAGTGCAAGGAGATAAGCAGACTAGAAACTAAGTAATTATTTGGTAATCCTTCTCTTTAACAGAAGTATTTTATGTACATGTGACCGCTGTTGTGAGCCAGCAACCGTAGGTCACAACAAATCTGGTAAAGAAATGAAAAATTTCTTGTTTATCTAAGAAACCTGTAATAGTGTAACAACTATCCAAATAGAACCAACTCTCGTCGTGAAGCTCCTATATTCTATTTGAACAGGGTGATTAAAATAGCAATTGCATTTAGTTATATGTGATGAATTTTATTACGGGAACATGGAGGCTGTGAAGTGCTTGTTGAATCCACAACTTCTGGACTTCGGTTGTGGATGTTCAGTTTGAGCTGATGTAATTAGTTGACCTCCACAGGGGACTTTTGATTAGTATGCTTTCTCATTTCTGTCAGAGATCCAGATTCTTTAGTTATATTGTTTTATATATCCACAACTATTTATTCTATAGTTAATAAACTAGTGCAATTGACTGATGCTGCCATAACAGCCAACACTGTAGATGCTGCAACGGAAAATCAAAAAGACTAAATTCAAGACTGGGCAATCACCCGGGAGATGACAATTAATATAGACAAATTGACAGGACTAAATAGGACAGTGCATTGAACAGTGACAACGAAAGCTGCTTTGGTATGCAAAGGGTTGCAGGATTATGGAATGAGCTAGCAGGTCATGTTGTTGAAACTGATGCTAAGGAAATGGCCTGATAACATCCTGGGGTTCAGGAACCCAATGAGCTGTAAAGGTCACATGACCTTCTCTTGCTTGTAGGTTGTAGTGTCCGCTGTGTGATGTTCGTTTGAGCGCTGTTTTATATTCACAGGGAGAACATCGGGAAATTGTGGAGAGGTTGAATGGAATTTCAAACACGCTTTGAAAAGCCTACTCACATTTTTCTTTGCAAGTCACAACAGGACAGAACGTTTTGTTTGTGTGTGTGTGTTTACCGCTGACCTGTTTTATTTTTCATGTATTCGTTTTTTTGCAAGAACACAGGGCTTCGGCGAGGAAACCAGAGGGAGCGTACCGTGTCATACCTTGTGATGGGCTGCGTGCTTTTCTAGGCATATCGTCCCGTTTTAGTCCTGCTCTGGTGGCAGGAGTGGAACAACCGTGCTGTCGACAGCTGACGAGGAAAAATGGTTTAAAAACCAACACCGACGTGCATCCTATGTGTACTCTACCCTCTTCATGACCAAGAAAGGGAATGCACCGTACTGTATGTAGACCGAGAGAAGGAAATATAAAGATGCAGAGGGACTGAAGCATAGATGGTTATGAGCGTCGGGGTGTGTGTCCTAACCCTAAAGGCAGTTGTGTGTCATCTTCACACAGGGGAAAAGACCATTTCGGGATCTGGGTCAGATGCTCTCCCCGGGCCCCTTCATGTGTTTCTGAAAGGGTTTGCAAACTGCTGTAAATCGCAAAGCGTGTAATTGTGTTAATGAATCACCAATTGTTCTTAATTGTGTTGTCAAATTTAGTAAAAGAAAAAAAAGCTCTCTGCTGCGGCAGGAGAACGCGATTAGATTTTTTTTTTTACGCTCCTTTTGCTCGCCCTGTTGTCCTCCATTGCTGTGCCCACTGGGTCTGCGTTCTGTCCCTGGCGAACAGAGAGCATCTTCTGACAGCAGCCGCGACAGCAGGCGGTGAGGTGCAGATCTAAAGGTCATGCCACACTCCGGTACTCTCGGGGATTGTTTTTAAACTAGCTGCCTCCTGGCCTCGGATGTTCGCTGCAAAAGGGGGCAAAAAAATTAAACGAGCGGCAAGATTTTACCTTTTTTAGGCAGACGATCTTCTGAAAATGTTAGCTTTTTATAATGTGAAACAAGGCTGTGTCTTTCAGCTCCCATGTTCCAACAGTTGGTGTGTTGATTTTATTCTTGAAATAACATGCTAAACAATGGCATAGGATGGTAAGTACTGTAGTTATATCAATAATAATAATAAATAATGTTTTACTTTTACATCATAGTGGTCTGTCTAAGTTTTACGATGGATCTAATTGTTTATAAATAAATGGAGTAACATAGACTTACTTGGGGATTGACCTGAATGATAAAGACTGGTTTCACAGACCAAAGTCTTCTGTATTTTAGTTGTATGTTCTTTGTTTTACGGCGGCTCAGATGCGATAACTGCGTAATCATAGCTTTTTTTTAGATGTAAATCTTTGTGGTGGACTGATTGGGTGAGTGTGGAAGTACTATTTTAATTTCGAATCTTGGTTATTTCCTTTGCTGGATGTGGGCCAAATACCCACCCTAACCAGAAAATTTGCAATATCTTACACAGATAGTTAGGCAATTTGCCTAGTGTTGTAGAATGAACTCCAAGCTTTCAGCGGTGCAATAAACCAGACTACCTTCACTGTTCAGCTGTGGCTCATAATGTCACGAGCACAGACTGAAATCCGTGTCAGATCTTGTAGAAGACCCTATGCGATGCGGTAAGAGCTGGAGAAAACAGCGTGGTAAAAGGAACACACAGGGGTTTAATAGTGCACAAAATAATAGTGACAGTCCGTGAGACAGTGTACGGGGAAGACAAAACGGCATCCAAATCCAAACAGGTCCAAGGGCAGGTCAAAGCACAGTCTGAGAGTCCATCAACAAGGAATCCATCCTGGGACGCGACAAAGTTAAAACCCCCGGGAGGGGGGAGCACACGGATGAACGAAACATGGAGGTCCAAGGGTGACGGGGCGAGATCCTCCAGACCCCGGGCTCAGGAAGCGGGAGGTGTCGGGGATGAGGCCTATGCCCTCAGGAGACGGACGTAGGGTTTCCTGGTGCTAGCCGGGCCTCGTGACATCTTACCATAATGATGAGCGCCGAGGACTGGAGGAGCTGGTCTTTAAATAATAACACTAAAAGGGTACACCTGGAGAGCTTAATCACACGAACAATAACGGAGCAGTGGAGCGCCCTCTAGGGAGGGATGTCGGGTGTGACACATAAGAACATAAGAGAGGTTGCAAAGGAGAGGAGGCCCTTTGGCTAATCAGCATATAATCTATCGGTTTATCAATCAATGTGGTGTGAACACAGCTTTTTAAACAGTGTTCTTCATGGTTCTTTTTCACATAGCTGTGCTTGTTTCAGTGACGTCTGCTCAAGATCTCTATCAGGGTGTCACGGGTCCAGTGCAAAAGGGGATGTAAGAGTGTGTCACTTCTGTATGGAGTAACTTGAGATTTATAGTATCCGACAGATGAAGAAATGTTGCAGCTTTGAATATCGTTTGTTTAAAGTTGGCGCACTGTGTTGGTAATCACAGCGTCAATGACTGTTGGGACTGCTGTCCATCAGTGTGATATAAGCAAGCTTGAAACTTGTGGTAATTTGTTTAATAGTACCCTGGTACTAAATGTTATGGTCATTTTTAGTGTTGCTTATCTGTGTTTGCTGCATCTTTCTCACAATTGTGCCTTTTACAAATTTACTATTAATATATTTACTTTATACTACAGTATATGTACTAATGGGACGCTGTTCCAATTAATTTACAGTTTTTGTTGGAATGATGTATAGCTGTACTTTATCTTGCTGTCGCTATACTATGTCTCTATGCCCATTAGTCTATGCTTCTGCCTTTTTTCTCATCAAAAGTGGAGACCAAGCAGGTCAGGCAATGTTGGAAAATGTGTAAATTTCCCATTACAAATAGTGGGAAACATTTTTCCAAAACATTTGTGAATGTCAGTTTGTGGTGCTTGGATATGTATCAAAGCATAAGCATGTGATCAGAAAAGGTCAGGTAATGTTGTTAATATCATATCTGCTCTCACAGCAGCACAGAACCACTGCTCCCCATCTATGAATTGGCTTCATTACTCTGCTCTCCTCCCCACTGAGAGCTGGTGTGTGGGGAGCGTTCTGGCGCACTATGGCTGCCGTCGCATCATCCAGGTGGGGCTGCACATTGGTGGTGGTGGAGGGGAGTCCCCATTACCTGTAAAGCGCTATATAAGTGTAAGCAATTATTATTATTATTATTATTATTATTATTATTATTACCAGAAAAGACTAACTGCTGACTCATCAGTTGCCGTGGCTACTAGATCAGCAGTGTAGATCTATCCCACCTGCGCACAGTTAACCAATACTTACCTTGTCCTCCAGCAGATTTTTAAGATCAGCGATGACAGAACTCTATGCTCGATCATTGAGTGTTTTCTTGTATCTCAGCATTTTCCTGCTAGTGTTTTGGTCGTTGTCTCTTGCTTCTTTACTTTCTTGCTTGACATTGTTCTCTGGATCACTCCCTCGTGCTTCAACCCGGCCTCTTTTGACCACGCTGGACTGTATCTTGTGCTTCTGTACCCAGCCTGTTTCCAAAACCCTCAGGGTTTTCGCTTTGTGTTTACCTGGCTTTAACCCTTGCTCGCTCATCTACAGCTTCGGACCACCCCTTTGGATCATCCTTTGCGGCTTCGCTCCAAGTTTCCTCGCTCTGGACCCCTGCACGTGCGTCTGGACAGAGTTTTGGTTTCGTTCTCGCCTGCCTGTGCACAGCCTGCTCAGCCCCTGCTCCTCCAATCGCATTCCGCCTCCCGCCTCCAGACCCGAGACTTTCATCAGCTGACTGCGGACGTGTTGCATTTTAGTCATGTTATCTTGCAATCGAGTGAGTTTTTATAAGGAAAACTTTGACTTGTCTGTTGCTCATCAGTTATAGACTACAGAATGTTCCTTTTTTGTAAATCAGGACCACCACCATATTTGTTTTACATCTGAGGTACAAATGGTAACTAGTTTTTCTTTAATCTTGGTGACAATGATACATTCTTATTTTACAGTGTAAGTTAGCAGAGACAAATACTGCGAACGGAGTGGATCATCTTTCTCAGATTCGACCTTTCAACATCTCATCAGGAATGTTCAGGGGTGTCATGCAGGACCCCTTACTTACAAAGGAGGAGGTTCGTTGGGCATGTGGTATACTGTACATCTTTAAAAAAGCTGAATGCGATATTCATTCTGGCTTTGGGATACATGCACATACATGCTCCTTTAGAATCACAGCTACGGTTTTGCGGTTCTGTGGGGCTTTATGAACAGTGAAGTGGAGACGTGGTGCTCTGTCACTCTGAAATGCATTTTGTTTTGCAAAAGAGGAAGATCTGGTTTGACAGATTTGCACTGTGGAAATTATTGTTTTTATATTTTACATCGCTGTGTTTAAACATCACATAAATGCCTACTTGAATGGATCCCTTCTGCTGCTCGCAAAAAATCATACGATTTCATACCAGCATAGCTACACCACGCCCATCAGGGGGCGGTCATAGTAGTCTTGCGTAGTCCTGTTACACTTGGGTCATGTGGTGTGTGTAATCCCATTCTTATTAGACAGAGGCAGTGTGGATTACAGGATGGCAGTGAACCCATTGCACGGATCTCCCTTTGTTTATTTTCTATTAAAATGTACCCTTCATCAGTCACGGCCTTAAAGAGCAAACTAATGAACAGTCACAGAGCTCACACGTTCCGCTTTCTCAGGACAAGGATTTTGCACGCTTGAGCTGTTTTGATTTTGAATTGTTTTTTTTATTTGGAGGTTAAAGCAGAATAGAATAAAGTTTTATTTTTTAAGGAATGGGTAAGGGGGCTCCACAGCCAAAATATTGGGTTTCTTTTACTTTCCTTTCAGTACAGAATGAACCTTTACCTGTTCTGTTGCAGCCTGCGCATGCTGACGCAGCTTCTTACTCGAAAGTTTGATTTGGTCCCCTAACCTTTGCAACTAAAACCCATTACAAAACTAAAGGCTCATTGGAAGGGAGAGTTACATCTCTACTAATAGTCTTATGTTTTATAAAGTCCTGTTCATTATACATCAATTCAAGGTACTTTAAGACATAACAAAAGGGAAAAGTATTCATAGAGCTAATACTGTAAATTAAACTACTAAATACTAGAGTATAAATGTACATTTTAAGACGGGAATAAAAGAACAGGAAGATCGAAAACAGACCTCAAAGACGATAGTTAATGATATGAAGGTACGCAGGAAATTAATCCTTTCATGGTGAGCAGGAACATTTAGAATTTTATTCTGAAATATAGAGGAATAATTCCTCACAGTTATATAGTGCTTTTCTGGACACTCCACTCAAAGCACTTTTACAGGTAATGGGGATCCCCTCCACCACCACCAATGTGCAGCCCCACCTGGATGATGCGACAGCAGCCAGAGTGCACCAGTATGCTCCCCACACACCAGCTCTCAGTGGGGAGGAGACCAGAGTGATGAAGCCAGTTCAGAGATGGGGATTATTAGGAGGCCATGATTAGTAAAGGCCAGGGGGAAATTTGGTCAGGACAGCAGGGTAACGCTCAAGCTCTTTTCAAGAAATGTCCTGCTCCTCATTCATAGGAATGGCGCCTTTTTACAGCACAGTGTCCCCATCACTATGCTGGGGCATTAGGACCCACACGGACTGCAGGGTGAGCGCCCCCTGCTGGACCCACTAACACCTCTTCCAGCAGCAAGCTTAGTTTTTCCCAGGAGTCTCCCATCCAGGTACTGGCCAGGCTCACAGTGCAGAGCTCCAGTGGGCTGCCAGCTGTGAGCTGTGAGCTGCAGGGTGATATGGCTGCTGGCTAGAGAAAGCAGAGGAAGGAAGCTGAAGTAGCTTATATACAGTACGCTCTTGCATTGAAGTTTTAGTTGAGATCCAAGTAGTTCTGAATGTGTTTGGATATACAGTATGAATATCAACCTCTCCAAAAAATAAAATCCACAGTGTTTAACTGATGTATAACTACAGCTGTTCACATTGACACTGTATTCCATCGACTCATTTGCTAATTGACTCATTTTGCATGACTAATTTTATGGAGTTGAGTCCTAGGGAGCAAGAGGTTACGTGTTTTTCATCATCAAGATGATTTACGTAAGTAAATGATACGATATGTCTCCAGGTTTTTTCGAGGTGAAAGATTTGTAACTTTTCAGCTTGAAGTTGTCCATTTAACCACAATTGACACTTGCTTTCTTAATGGGCCTTAATATAATCTTTAATGGGCCTTAATAAATCTTCTTATATCAGCTCTAATTTTCATATAAAAATAAACACAGGGTAGTGGTACAGAGAGATAAGCGGCAAGCATTGGACTTTAGATGCATGGGATGTTTTTTAAAGACTTTCATTGCTTGTGGACACCATGGTGTACAACCGACAGCATGTGCATTCCATCTGCAGCCTGAATTAGACCAGTATGTGGAAGGTACTTTCACACTTATTAGTGACAGAATGTAAGTTAACAGCCTTTTTTTTAACAGAAAATAGAAATTTGAAATAAACAAATAAACCTCCCTCTCCCCCCCCCAGTCATAGTTGTGGTAAGAAAACCACCACTCAAGCTTTTGCAGATCGGTTCCTTGAGGAAATACTGTCCTGAGCGGCATAAAATACACAACATTGTTCTGGTTTTAATGAGTCTCCGTATTTATTCAGTGTGGAGCAATCGCCAGGCCTTTATTTCGGCTGAAGTCTAGGCACAGTAGCATGGGAGGAAGAAGAGGTCTCTCTCTTTTTCTTTTTCTGCCGGTCTCCCCTGGCTGAGCTCTCTTTACAGCCAGATAACAGAAGTTACAATTCTCATTTCTACACACCCGCCCTCATCCGGCAACTAGACGACTTTCCATTCCTGTCTTTCTCTGAAAAAATGTTTTCTTGAATAATTTGTAGCCGCCTGCAGTCTCCGTATTTTATGTCAGAATTACAAGGACGCGTTGTTAACAAAGAAGCGTTTTAAGCACAACCTTCAACCAATGTGAGGTCATCGGTGACCAGAGTCACTACTGGTTGCACAGAGTACAGGCATCAGGTTACAAGAGTTATGATTACAATGATGTTGAGACTGTCATGGTGTAATATGAAAGATATATTAAAAATCCTTCAGTCTCATTTATTCAATGTATTTAAACATGTATTAGCAGAGTATTGATAATCACCTATAAGTGACACTTATTAGCTGGATGATCGAGACACACATATAGCATATATAAACATCAGCGAACCTTCGGTTAAATGGACTTGGGATTTAATGGACAAAATCTCCTAAACCAGAATTACTGAACTTTCCCTGCAATAACGGGGAAATGCACAAATAATAAAACCTTAAAAAATAAAGACTACATAGATTTCATATTCAGGAATTATCAGTGGTCCCCTATATGGGTAGGTCTATTGTTTATGATGGGTTTGGTTTGTGTTTTCTATGCTCTAGCAACTTTTATAAGGTAATACTTATTGGTCAAGAAATAAATAATTTATAGTTGTGACCAAGAAGGCACACAATTTTCATTGACTGTGTTGATTGCAATTGTTAAATGAAAATACCCAGAGAGCATATACATATTATAGTATATATAATGTCATATAATAGTGTTTTTGGCCTGAAAAAAATCATTTGTGTTTTTACTGACATTTGGCAATAAGAGACACCCCTTCCCCCCAGTAGTCCGTTAGACTGAGTGTTTACTGAATATGTTTGTGTGTGTTGTTAATGCATAGCCTAGAGGTGACACATGTAACTTGTATTATGAATAATTTAAAGCGGTTCAGTTAAAAGATTGTCCATGTCATGAGCTGAGAATCACTGTACTTTGAAGGACTGAATGATGTTGTATTTGACAGATGTTCATCTGATGAAATAACCATTCTTCTCACTCCTTCAAGCAGTGAGCTTCATCTCCCCAGACATCTCAGAGCAGCAGTGTACCACCCTGGAGCGCGGGGTTAGTCACCTATTACATTATTCACGCCCAGAAGAAATGTAGCTGACAAGGGCAGTGTTCTTCTTGATTAGATCAGACATCTGTTTAGAGACTCGCAGCATAATTGTTTCTTGTTTACAGAAAGGTTGGATAACAGTAATACATCTGGACTGTACTCTATTATCATCTCTCAGCTGTAACTAGATTAAACAAGATTGAAGGTTTTGACTCTGGAAACGCCTCAGAGAATCTTTTTCCTTGTTATCATGCTCTTAAACATTTGTTAAATGCTTGGTCTGTTCCTGGAAACGATGGCCATTTGAATGACAAAAGGAACAGGAATCAACCAAGACGACAGCCGTAGAGTCATTTGCTCCCTCCTGCTTGCATTTTGAAATAAAAAAAGATGCGAATGAGGAGCTGTGTCAGTGCTGCTAAGGAATAAACAGAGGTTAGTAAGTAGAAAAACAAAAACAAAGTATTTTTTCAGTGTAGAATTAACCTTTACTTTTTCCTTTGCATACCATGATGACAGGGGCCAGTACAGTCAAGTCAATGCAGACTTTTAATGGTAGCTTCTGCAGGGCCACTGAAGAGCTATTTATTAGTACCTGGAAAAGGCAGCCAATTATTCAATTAAGTGGTTCAGTTAAGGCGCGAGGCAGAATGACAGGGAGAAACAAATATTGGACGGCTCTTCTGGAGGACATCTTCATCCATTTCTTAGGTTCTTCACGCATTATCCCAACAGATATTGTGTGTACATTCCCCAAAACTGGTGACATAGATACTTGATGAATTCATTGATGGATGCTTGTCGAGAGGCACTTGATTTTTTTTTCATATTGGTGGCAAATGGACTGCTTTCACGCGATCTCAGCTTGTTCGAAAGAATGAGAAGGACTCGTGGTTTATCACGAGAAATCCCCGGCTTTATGTTTTCTTGATCTGATCTGGAATTTGTGTAGTGTGCTTATTTTTCAGATTTCAAAACCAACTGTTCATTCTTTACAACAGAACAATTTCAAACATTTCCTTAGAAAAGTAAACTGTTTGTTCAACAACCACAAGTATTTTTGGAAGTGGCGGTTTTGAACTGAGTTTGTAAATGTGTAACATAGAAGTAGGAATTATTGTTTATATTACAAGAATAAGAAAGATATGGGATATGTACCAAGAATGTGTTATTTAGCCTAATAATATAGTGTTGTTCTAGACCTTACTAGGAAGGAAATCAATCCAATTTTTCTGTAATATGTATTTTTTAATTAAATCCATTACATTAAATTATTAGTACCTTGCAAATGCATAATGTGGAAACCACAACTTCTTTTTTATCATTACAACAGGCTGATGCTGTAGTTCTATTCCATATGTTCAAGCTAAAATAAATATCTTAGATATAAAT